TGCCAACTTGAGACATCTGTGGCGCCGTCACGACATCCGGCTGTCTGTGAAGGGTCGAGTATATGCTGCAGCAGTTCAGCCAGCTCTACTATACGGTGCAGAAACTTGACCATTAAGGAAACAGGATAAACATAGACTGTCGGTGTTTGAACACCGCTGTCTACGCAGTATTGCCCGAATCTGGTGGGGCAACTGGACGAGCAGTGCTGAGGTTAGGGGCAGAGTTTTAGGCAATCGCGGTCGCCCACTGGAGCAAGTGATCGACCTCCATAGATTCCGTTGGTTGGGACATGTGTTACGCATGTCAGCAGATAGGTTTCCACGGTGAGCGATGTTCGCCGAGGCAGGTAGTGGGTGGAATAAATTCAAGGGTAGTCAAGCTAAGACCTGGCATGGGGGTATGAAAACACTAACCAGGAGTCTGGATCACACAGGTCCCGTTGGGCTTCCTGGATGGGAACCTCGGGATGGTCGTACCCGATGGTTAGAGACTGAATGATATGGCTGGGTGTCGTATACAGTGGCGTTCATGCATCTTGATTTCTTTGCAGCCGTAGTTTACTAATGATCTCAATTTTCTCTTTGACTCTACCTTCAACCTTCTTGTCTACCTCCTAGAGTTCATCCGAATAGGCAGCCAAAAGACAGCAACCAAACTCGGCACACGATAGTGCATGGTTAATGGTTGTACCTATCGGTGATACATCACGAATGCTACTCCAATGCGTATCAGCCGATAAACGGGGTCGGCGAAGGCAGTTTGCTGATACCGATTCTTGTGAATATTTATCTTGGTTACTCAAACAATAGGCTTGACAAGGATGTTTCAAAACGATATGTATACCATAGCTAGGTTGATGACATCTTTGTTATGAGCAACATCAAGGAACATGGAGGAAAACTGTTCCATCGATTCAACACAATACACTAACATCCAGCTAACTCGTCATGACTATGGATGGGGACGATCGCATCGAGTTCTTACATTCAAAGATTACTCGTCGACCAAATGGATTGATCCAAAGGATCTGTTTTCCAAAGGAACAATATCTGCCTCAAAAATAAAATCTTTATCAAGTTGTTGTTCAGAGGTGATGACCTGAGTGAATTAATCAGCTAGCGGCTGAACTCTGCCGACACACTCCTCTATCACGCAGTTGAACCGGTCATTGTCTTCACCACCCGGATACCAAAGATGTCGATGAAAGAACCATTGCCCCCCCCCTCAAATGGCATTTAGCAATTCTAGTGTGGGTGCTCGGCTATGTACATAGACAACACAGAGAGGCAATGATGTCACCAAATGGCTGAGCGTATCCTGTTATGGCTTAAGAAAAGGATGGACGACGAATTTGAAACCGTTACGTCGTCGAATGGGTAGAAAAGACTTAGATCTACGATAACACAACACCTATAGGAATGAGAACATTCCCACTCCAACCCGTGCATTTCAGGTTCTCTAGAACACCATAAGCACAAAGCCACTATAATTTGCCGAGGCTCTGGTCGTTTATACTCTCATCCGATCCATACAAACAACGTGAATGGTTGGTCACATGAGCTTTGCTTTCGTGACTGACCCCTAACCTCTTTCGTTTTTCATGTTGTATTGTGTTGTCCGTTGTGATAATCGATCTTGTCTTCATTTCACAGTAATTAACCACTGGCTATAAGAAAACACTGATTGCAATATGCTCGTGTGTACAGATGCAGCGAAATGACCATGGTTACACTGTACAAACCTGTGTTTCTGAGGTCTTGCATATGTTAGTTTCCTATTGTTTTCATTTGAAAAAGCAAGTTTTAAAGCTCTACGGCATTAGACGTTCTACCAAGGTTTTAGTTGGTAAAACACTTGTTTTCTTGTTACTGATTTCAATTTATCACACACGCTCACATCCGGTTGAAACCTGTGCAATAGTCATCCTGTGGAATTGCACTCGGGTATTTTAAAACGGTCTTTATTCACAAGTTATGCACTTTATAAAGTGTCATTCGAATAGTACCCTATTGTTTACAATTTATTGCTGATCCTAACGATACGCACCACTGTTTACCAAATGAAACATTGCATTATTTTCCGACGGAAAGACAATTCATTTAAAAGAAATATTGCGAAATGTCCGCTTCGCGTCTAATGCGCTCCATCTACATGTACATAGCAGTCCGCTGTTATGCTTCCCCTCTCCATGATTCACTCTTTGCCTAGTCATGTTTTCTCTTATCCTCAACCGATTCCTGTTTGACAACATGTAATAATGCGTGAACAAAACAAACCCATGATGGCGACCGCTAATAATTGGAATTCGAAGTACGCATCATTTGACGACAGCACTAGTGAACCCGTTCACCTTTGACTGCCTATCATCGTGTCTTCAACGAGAACGACTGTTCTTTGTGTGTGTTATTTTTTGATGAAATCGTGATTTACTCGTTCTACCAGAAACACTCTTTTGGTTTAAAGCGAGCTAACGGAACCGTCGCGGCAACAATTTGCGTGATATTAAACCCAGCCTAAAATGAATCTCAGTATTAGTTCCCTAACTTATTTCGTTCCACGAATCGGATATTCTCTCTCTCTCTCTCTCTCCTTCATTTTGTTCCTGTTGTGTGACATGACAAACATCTGATCAATGTGAGTGTTCTGTTTTTGCTGCACAGGTTTCGTCTAACACTGCCGTGAGCACGATCGGCTTGACCACATCATTCGGCTGGCAAGCATCGGAAGTGCTTCAGCAACAAGATATTCATGAATTGTGTCGCGTCATGTTTGATGCGTTAGAAAAGAAATTGAAATCGGAAAAATCCGCTCGGCAGACTTTGAAAGAGAATGACGCCCAAGGGGATTATGTTGTGGTCGATCATGCCCAGAGCACGCATCACGATCTCATCAATCGACTGTACCAAGGTCAACGTTTCGATCGCGTTCGATGCTGTGTGTGCCAGTCGGTCAGCAACAAACCGGCTACATTTTTGGATATCCAAGTTCCTCTTCGTCCATTCGGTCTGGATGTCTCCTCGTACTCAAGCTTGGTAAGTGACTACCGAGAGAATCAATTGTCTGATCATTTGTTATTTGGTTCCTGGGCTAGATGATGGCCCGCTTTTGACCACCATGATATTTTATTTCGGATCCGTTTTGATACTTTGAGCAGTTTGGTTTGGTTCTGACATGGTGAATTTAGTTTAACGTTTATAGCCGCTTCCGTGATTTTCATTGTAGCCTGTTTTTGTTCAGTGACACGCCACGCAGACTCCGTTTCTTTTGAAGCGTGTTCACGCTCAGAATGTGTGACCTACACTAGTGTTCTCGTTCCAGGCCGCATTCATCACTCCCCGAAAATGACTCTGGGGTGTTGGTGATCTTTGCACGTTGTTTTAATTGATTTATTTATTTTGCGTGTGTGCCCGCACATAAGCAGCACGAGATATTTTGCCATATTGAACGAAAACGACTCCAGTATATCTTTTACTGTCGAGAGCAATCTGCATAACACTTGCGTATTTCAGGTATATTTTGGTTTGTGGTACGCAAGGCCAGTGTGTGTTCTGAGAATTGTGGGAACTAGGGACTCCGTGACGCGACGTGGCAAGTCGCACCAGACACAGTTGATGCTTGTTGGTTGGAGGTTACTCCATATAACGCATTGGGATTTTTGCTGTTCACTGTCTCTGGCCTATTTTCACGGTCTCAACTAGAACATTTTAAACACTTCTTATTAAACGGGAGGTAACAATTATCAGCAAGTAGAGCATAACGGACCGACCCCCGAATCTGGTACTCAAGTGAATCTGGTGCCGGTACCCTTTTCAATCCAGACATTGCTAAAACAACACTGGGCCTTGCCAAATACAAGGTACGCATTTTCAAAGCTGAATTAGATTTCCCGTCGATCAAATTTTCGTGGTACACCACGCACCTTGGTTGGCTCGAGGTGTGAAGATTCGCCTGGCCTCAGAAGGGCTTGTCCGACAGCACGTGATGAGGGATAGGCAACTTTGGTGTCGGAGATGTATTGTTAGCTTTTCCAGGACCCGCGTTTTTTGAGCTAACTGTTTCATTGACTGAACAGTAATCTCTCATGTCTGTGAAACTTGCGCTTACTTTTCATTCACTGAAAGTGTACACGCATGCATGTTCATTCAAATTTGCACTTTTTGATCTAATGGACTCATACGTTGATCGTCATTCGTTGGATTTTGGGAAAATCATATACTTTCCTCATTTTCCTCCGTGTAGGATGAAGCTTTTCGTGCCATGCTCGAACCGGAACGTTTGGATGGTCCGAACCAGTACTACTGTTCACATTGTGGTGTAAAACAAGACGCGATGTTGGACTGTGTGTACGAACGAATGCCCTATTTGTTGTCGTTGCAATTGATGCGGTTCACATTTGATCCGCGTACCGGGAATCGGATCAAACTGCACGATCGAGTCAGTTTCCCGCTTGAAGATTGGGACATCACTGAATTTATTGTCCCATCGTGTGATTCACCTAATTCAGCCAATAGTTCCGGCCCCAGTTGTGGTGCTCGGGGTGACAGTGAGCTGTTTGATGACGACGAGGCAGTGGTGTGCAGTCTGAATGAGGATGGCCAACAATACACCGGCTCCGGAGTGAACGGGGTTCTGTCTGCAAGCAGTACGACTGAACCGATTGAAGATGAAGACATTGAGCTTGGTACGGACAGTGGAGCCAATAGCGGGATTGATAGGTGCGTATATGTGTTAATTGCCGCATCCTGGAACAACTTTCACTGACGCTGTTTGTTGTTTCATTGTCATGTTTTACCATGTTTCATGATAATAATTGATGTTTTTTTGCCGCCGATTGGCACATGCTACAGTTCACCAAGCAGTGCAACCAAGCGAACCTTTCATAAGGTAAACGAATCGGATACGTTCCGGCGCCCGAACCAATGAGCGAAAAGTGTCAGGGGACTTTGGTTACCACTAACCTTATTCGCGAAATACTAACGAANACGAAGCCTTAGAATTTGCTTATTTTACTTCATAATTTTGCTTGGCTATCTCGAGAATAGGCTTCACTGTTGTCACGGTTTGAGACTGATCATCATTGGTGATTGGGGGCGATCTCCAGAGGTGTGAACAGTAGACTAGATGTAGCCTCAGGCATTCAGCGTCCATTGTGCTGATTCTGTGCCATGTTTTCAGCTGACCCTCCGTGCCACAATCCCAAACAGAAAATGACGTTAGAGCAAGACAAACATCACGGAGTTCGATTAGTATAACTTGTAAGGCTTGGCTGAACCTCTACGGGCTGTGGCGTTGTATGAAAACTGGTAATTGTTGGATGTTGAAGCAGTGTCTATGTATCTCGTCGCTTGATACCAGGTCTCTTCGTGTCATTTTGGGTATCGTTTTGAAGTCACCAGTTGTCGAAAGCTTCCAGTGTTCCCTCGTAACACGGTCCGACTTTCCTAGCCATATACTCATTGATTGGATGTTGGCCTGGAAGACACGATTTTGTCCAAAGATTTACTTTACTTCGTGTCCGAGTTGTCTTCGAGGTTCATCGTGCTCTGTGATGACATTCGAGAATGCCAACGCCTGTATACCTTCTTGATGTGGACGTAACTCACTGTATTGCTGTCGGATTCTACCTCCCTGAAAGGGATTTTCTTTCGAAATTTTCGCCCACAGTGAATGTTCCACCCCGTCAATTTTTCACAAAGTAGTACTTTTTGCCAAGGTTAAGTTATCTTTTTCTGTAGCAGAAGAGTCATATTGAGTTAATCCCCACTAAAGAAAGATGCATGATCCGCCACATGTGATAAATGAGTATGATGCTCCGCATATTTTTCACTTTTCTCTCACCCTCTTTGAATAGTAGTGCGTTCTTGTTTGCACATGATTTGCAGTTTCGACCTATGAAATGCTTCCACACGACTCCGGTTAGTCTAACCTCTGAACTCCATTTTGTCCGAGATATGGTAGAACTAACAGATAAGCTTTACTGGATATTCTATCCATGTTCACTTCGTAATCCGATTTCCGACGAGGTGTCATTCCTTGTTCGAAATGCTCTTGTTAGCGTATCCGAGTCATCTCTGCTGTCCTACTGAGGTCTGTTCACATTTACTCATTCAAGCGTCATCAATGGATCGCTGTTAAGCTGTAGCATCTAAGTATGATAATTATATGTAGAAGCTGCAGAAGGATGTGTACTCCTCAGTGCCGTTGGTGTCTCATTGTTACGCGCGTGTCAACTCGATTTTGGGGTTTGAACAAGACCTTCACAAACTGGGTCCGTTGTGCCTTATAGATATTCTCTCTTTACGCTCATTAAGATGGTTATTGGTTAGGTCAGACACAAGCACGATCAGTCTTTGATTTAGAACTGGGTGTATAGCTTCGACCCAGAGACCAAACAACACTCGGTTCAGTGGACGCTGGTTGGTGATCCGCCACCTGTGAAATTCCAACGCAAGCGTAGTGTGGCAAAGCAGATGGTGGTTGTGTTCATGACCCAAACCGGTCATGTGGCTACTATACCGCTCGTACACTAAAGCAAAATTATCGAAGACTGGTACGGCACTCACTGTCTGCCGGAAGTGCTGGAAGCTGCTGCCAGTCGTCGTCCAACGACTCGAGCACGAGGAACCTTGCTACATTATAACAGCGCACCTGCACGCAGGTCCCATGTCGTGAGAGATTTTCTGGCCATAGAACGCATCCAGGTGGTTGGTCACCTACCCTTCAGTCCAGACCCGCTCTGTGTGACTTTTTCGTGTTCCGCAATGTGAAGCGCATGATGCGTGGAATCCGATACGAGCCACTAACAGCTGCAATGCAGGCGTTCATTGAGCTTGTCGACATGGTCCATTTCTTTCACAAAATGGTTTGTGTGCATGGAACTGTGCAATAAAACCGGTGGAGAATGCTTCGAGAAAATGTAATGCTCACTTTTGTGTAGCAAAAAGCTTTTTGTGCATCCGGAAAATCGTTGCTCAGCCCTCTTGTGGCAATTGCGACGACCCTATTACCCCTCCGGTAGCACTTGCCTATTTTGGGTCTGGAAGCATACCCGCAAAGGTAGAGGTCGCGTGATATTGGGGGTGCCACATTGTACCGTTCTCCTTATATTCTTCAATAGTGTTCCATGAAGCTGACTTCTCCTCAGACACGGGATAAAGTCGCCTAAAATGAACAAATTAAGAATGAAGGAACACGCGAACTGATTTTTCGGAGTACAAGGTACAGGAATAAGTCATCACACAAATTATTTGTTTTCATTATAAATACTTGTACCCAGATGTTCTGAACAGTGACGTCCATTCATGAACGCACTTTCACTTTACTCTGTGGCATGCCTAGCCTTCCCTAAATAGTTACACGTATTTTGAACAGATCTCATCGAGATGTAGCGATCAAACTTTCTGTGTCTTACGACTCTCTAAATCGTTTTGCGAGTGAAATGTGCTTATTCGCCTTGAGCTTTTGTTTTGTACATGATGATTTATTCTGTTTCTACCGGGCTCACAGGAGCCTGTTTTCGTTAATGCTGCTGTCTCCCAATTAATCGCTGTCCGCTTATTATGGCTTCACTGCACGGCGGTGTTTTCCAAATATAACCGGTTTTATTTCGCGGAATCTGCGCATTGTCGTGGGATTTTATCGGCATACAGGTGTTTGTCTAGCACATAGAATTTCAAACATTTTCGCCTAAAATTTCGAAAATGTGCAGAAGTTTACTTCAACCATAATCAAAGAATATTAAGTCAAGAATATATAGCACGTATTTTATCTCTGAATGAACACTTTGATACGAACAGCGCCACAGTTTCCCTAATTTTTCGCTTCAAGGAGAACTAGAAGTCATGTTCAAGGACGAAAATTACTGCATCGTCTAATGAGTCACCCGAAAAGGGTCAATGCTGGTTTAGCAGTAAAAGTCAGCAAATTATCGCCTCGAGGACATGTGTTCGACTCCCACCACTACCGCCCGACATTCCCCATTCTCTATGTGATGTATGGTAGCCTTTTGATTGGCCGCTCTACGCCCCCTGAAAATTGTTATTGTGTATTTAACAAAAGAAGTTAAATGAAAAGGCGTGGTATCTTTGAGAAAGCTTTAATACTCCTCTTAGCTGAGCAGGACATTCATCTGATCGTTATCAATATCACAATCCGCATTAGTAGTGCACAGCCACGTCATTCATGATTTTACTCATTCAAGTTGTTGCATACTTCATTGGCGAATAGTGTGCGTGGTTGAAGCTACGCAAGCTTCCGTGTGTAGACGGTGCTTGACCGTAACTGGAGTGTGCTTGCGGGAGTAGAAAACGTTTATAGGAATGTGTGGGAAGGATGTAAAAAGCCTTGAATATGCGTAAGTGATAAAAGCAATAGAACTTCACTAATTAGCGGATTTTCATCTCTCGCAGGGGTCTCCAGAACGTAACTCCCGCGATAGATGTGGGATCGTAGTACTTGCTAAATCGGACCGGTTTAAATGAAATGTGTGCCTTCAAAATATCACCGTTTAGTGTTACCCTTTTTTGATTTTCCGACCTCAAGACTAATAAATTATCCTGTTCAGATTTCGGTGATTAGGCCTTGAACACGTCAATCCCTCTCTGTGTTGTAGTAGTTGTCTTGTGGATATAGCGAAGACATCAGGTTGCGTGTAGTGCTTAGAGTGCTTTACGCGCGTAGTT